ATACTCCTGGCTGCCTCTTGGAAGCTCGATGAATATCATGTGGTTATCTCGCTGTGGCTAATCGATTCTGGTCCAAATAGTCCTGTCGTCTTTCGGTCTGCGCCTATAAAGCCTAGTTCAGACTTATTTACTCCAAATTGGCAAGTAATTGCTAAGAAAATTAAACGAAAACCGCAATTCGTCTTTCATTTGACCAAATTGTGAACAAAAAAACCCGGCGGCCTTGGTAGGATACGAGCCCACGACAGTAGGGGGAAAGCTTAGTACAGCCTGAACTCCGAGGTCCCACCGAGAACCGGAAGTTTAATTGCATTTGGGTCAAGTGACCTGCCCAGCCTTCTGCAACCCACATTATGCAGATGACGGCTACGCTGCGTCAGACTTTGCCTACCAGAATAGAGGAATGTTTGTATCTTCTGGTATTCAACACAAAGCGCTTGTTGCTGCTTGACTACTCCAGCCTGCGTTCTTTTCATCGGCATCTCTAAACGCGTCGGTTCTCAAGACATCTTTACAAGATTCGTAATAGCTTTCCGGACATTCCACTTAAAGTTATTTTGAGGACTTGAATGCATGTGGGTCCCCAGCGTCCACCTGTGTTGTTCAAAGTTGTCTTCTCTGGTGCTGTGGTCAAGAAGACAGGCCGTTCGGTGGGAAATTGCGATACCTGCTGACCGAATTATTTCCAACACTTTCCCTCGTTTCGCCACTCCCTCAGCAAAGAGTCTATGGTTTTTTCTAATGAAGTAAAACCACAGATGCAGCCCTTACTGGTTTTTTGCTCTCTTACTGACATTTAAGTACTATATTGAACTTGCCTCAATGTGGGGCCTTTCAGATGAATTTCAGCGTGCTGCACGGGCTGTTACTGGGAAATACCTTAACAAAGCCATCGTGGACACTGTATTTCTGCTCTTCGATGCCGATGGAGATGGTCACTTGAGTCCCGACGAGTTTGTGGCCTTTATTCGCTCTTATATCGCCAGAGGCACCCGCAACGAGGTAAGTAATTTTACGACACTGACTGTGACTGAATAGGTTAACTCTCTGTGGCACTCTTTTAGTCATTTTGACAGGCATTTGTCTACGAAAGATGAATAACGAAAAGACACCCTTAGTTCGACTTACAGTACTAGTTTGGAAGGTTAGCTCACAGGAGTAGCTTGCCAATAGTCGGAGGTAGGCCCGAAAGCGTGCTCGTGCATGTAACTTAGTGCATTTCTTCGTTTATGCCAACAAACTTTAAGATGATCTTCGTCGCATCATGTTAGCCCAAGCTGATGCTCACATTAAGGTTCAGTTTGAACCCCGCGAAGAATCGTCTTAGGTTCTCTGTCTGTCGTAATCCACGGCGTTCTGTGCGAATGCCTCTGAAGGTAACAGTCTAGTTTAGGGCTCACTACGGAAACCCAACGCCCGGAATTTTGTAATACGCGGTCGACAGTAATAGTTATTCGTTTTTATCTTTAATTTATTTGTTTTAATGTATTTAATTTATTATACCATGTTATATTTTATATTTTAATTTATTTTTCAGCCATCGCAAGTTTTGGCTTTGCTATGTATTAGTTTTGTATAATAATTTTATTTTCTATTTCCTGTTTTTCTTTCATTTATATTTATTTTATTTTATCTTCTCTGTTCCCGTAACGCTCGACCCATATAAGCCCTATTACCACCGGTCACGTATTACAGAATTCCGGGAGGGTGGTTGATTACCGTATTGAGCCCTATACTAGACTGTTACCCTTCTGAACTTATTCAATGGTAGCTTGACATTCAACTGTGAGCTTATTGCTTCATGTTTGCTTTCGCAGTACGCCTCGGAGTCAGCGGCTCAGAATTTCACCTCTTGTGTGGCTGCTCGTGCCCACACTACCTAGGATCCAGTAGGATCTGTCTTCCTGCATGTCGACAGTCAGTCCTTCAACCTCGCTTCCAGGGAAAAGAAGGCCGGAAACTTTCCTGTCCTATCCTCGCCCACAGCCTGCAATCATTTTAAATCAGCTTTTCTGCTTTGCCTTACTTCCTCGAATTTTTAACTCTGTTTTATTGGCTACTTATTCATTTCAGAAATAATCCCTCCTTTATTGTTATTTACCTATTGGAAAAAATACACCAAACGTTTCAGTACCAGCATTTCGTCTTCTGTCGCCTTTGTAAACCTTTTCGTTTGCTAAAGGTTGAAATTTTGCACTCTGTCCTCGCCATGATGGGCATGACTGGTTGTTGATGACTAATAAACTACAAATGGCCATTCCAGTCTCCTTTGTCTTAGCTGGTAATGTATTTCTACCCACTTATCTTCTCATTTATGTCCGGGGACGCGCATCTTCGCTTCTATTAGCAAT